CTTGAACGTCATTGGCTTGTGGATAAGCGTGATAATTATTTTTCAGTCACGTGCTAACCTTTGTAATTACCTTTGATTGTTTGACGCAATCTCCGATTTTATTGACATACGATAATCATAGATAACATCATATTACTATCCTGTCTACAAGACAAAAAGGTGGTAACTACAAGCCTTACAAGTAGTCATTGCAATAATCTAACGCAATGAAGATAGGAGACCTTTCTGAGGGAAATTGATATCAAGGAGTCGCAAAAGACAGAAAACGATTAAAAATACTAATATCCAAATTCTGTTAAATTTCAATGTCAATAGTCAGTTTTAAAACAACTACTGCGCCTACATTTTGCCAACAAGTCAGAGGAATAATACAAAATATTTGTTTATTTTGTTATTTGTTCTAATATACTATGCCGGGATGACACAAGTAAAAATACACGTTATACTCAACAGTAAACGTTCAATTCACTTTTCTAGGTCACATAAAAAGCTGATGAAAGCCCAATATTCACTAGTCGTTTTTATTAACTGATTAAATCAGTTTCATGAATTCTTTAAGATATACTATTCAAGAAAGATTAAAACAAAGATACAATTCGATTGTCTAATATATAGGTCAAATGACAAAACTAATTTATAATAAACTAAGTAACGATTGGTTATTCGTCATTTGCTTATTTCAAGGTCAACTAGGCAGATAGTAGCAATTGATTGGCTGTTGAGGAATACATGCCTGTATGTATATGATGACTATGACAAGTATGAATGATAATAATGTACTTTATAAAATTGGTTTACGAAACAGATTGACTGATTATATATTCATGCTAAGAACAAAAGTGCTCGTGAATTAACTGGACACTTTAACAAAGCCGTAGTGAATTTTGCAAAGACTACTAGGAGTGTAATTGATTACCAATACTAAACATATTTCTGTATATATTGTAAGCTTTACAAACAGATATCAATGCCGAAAAATAAGTGTATCCACAAAGGAATCAAGGGTGTTCAAGAATATGGTAAATACTAAGGTTTGAAGTGGTAATAAATATCATGATAATTGAAATCGACTAGGCATTACACGAAATTTCAACAGCTTAAAGATACTTTTGCAATGATAGAACAATCTGGTCAGAGAACTGGATTATGCACAGTACGTTAAGCTATAAATAAAATCTACACCAGAATCTTAATAATTACAAAGTTGAAATACAGAGATTATATTCTAGGGAACTAATGTGTTTTCATGAATAAAGTTTGACAAAATCCCTCATAATTTCGGTTACTTATTTATGTTCTCAAATATTGTTCTGGAAATTACCAATAACAATCTGAAATGAAAGACTATGTACGATTGAGACTGTCTGAAGGTTGCTGTAACACTACAATACATAAGAAGTCAACTAATCCCCACAAACCTCCAAATATATAAAGTCACTCAAATGAGTAGATTTAATTTGGCTTTTTTAAACGATATCGTCTACTACGGCATACTTTATGGGTCTCCTTAAACAGGCAATATTTACAACGGCAACCCATTTGCACTAGATAGCAATGAATGGATGACCTTAGACCATCACTGGCTACTAGTGTAAACTATAAAAAGAATTTGAAGATAAAAGTCGACGGACAAGCAATCACAACAAGAGTGAGAGATCTGGTACATCTGATTAATAACCACAATTATTACACTTCAACTCAGCATAGAAAAGTGAAATCAACAGGTAGGAAATTCAAAGCAATAGACAGACAAAACCAATGTAGAATATCGCACAAAAGTGCATCAGTTCATGTTACAACGCTTCACGGTAGCATAAAATGAACAAGTTCTCCGACCAGAGAAATTCAGAGAACACTAAACCACCATCATCCACATCCTGAGCTACAAATCTTTCCCATCATTTCAAAATAATTTGAGCGTAACGCGCTTCTCTGTATTCGATAATGGAAGAACTTCATCAGTCGGAGAGATTCCACTCGGGAACAGCTTTTCTTTTTACATGAATGTTTACAACGGAATATCTTGCTACAAAGTGCTAGATTCAGACTTCAGTCCTACTACTAGATGGAGGATTGTACAATAAAGAGACAGAAAAATGGTACGACTAATGATATCAGATGCACACAACCGATTAACCAAATACAACAAAATAATTACAACTCAACAACAAATTTTGGAACCGATCATCGGAGTAGATACGATGGACAAACTGACAACACCCATCAATATAACAACTAAAACCAAAGGTGATGAGAGGCCAGAAGTTGAATGGTTAACTACTCAGGTTATCATAAGCAACAGAGAAGGAATTAACAAATGGTTTGGTAGTGAATCTTTCAGAACGCCTATTATCTATGATAGAATACGATTTGCCTCAGAAAAGACTGAACTACAACACTGGAAATGTAGACAAACTTAGTTTCTGCGCTTCTCTAAAGTCTATGTTGAAAACCTCAGGATCAGGTGCAAAGAAACAACAGGAACGACATCAGTTAGTTGTACCTCTAGTGAAAATCAAAAGAAATCAATCAACTGCTAAGTACAAAAGAAAGAAATGCACTAAAATCGCTAATGACTGATAAGACAATTGTAATATCGCCTACGGATAAAGGAAGGAAAAAAGTAATCGTGAACAAAACGGACTGTCAGAAAAACGCAAGAACTACTAAACAATTAAACAGTTGGGCAATCAGATCTAAAGGAAATTGAGTAGTTTAGTAAAATACGGCAAAATCAGAAAAGAAGAACAATGGAGGATGAAGACAAACGTACCAGTCGTATCGAGGTTCTACGGTCGACCTAAGGTACATAAAACAGATAGCCCATTACCTGAAACACCTTCATTCAATATTTTATCGTTCGGTTTACGTGGAAGAATTGTATTCCCCGATAAGTTGAACTTAGACAGCATTTCGTTGAACAGCATGTTGCTTACAGGCACTCAGTATAGGAGAAAAAAAAGTCGGAATGCACTCAGGAACCTCATACAGTAGGCGATCAATCACATCTATTCTGTGATGCTTAATGATACCACCTGGTTGTCCAAACTTCGATAATGCGGACCGGGGTTCAGACCCAAAACCGAGTGGTTGAAAGTCATCTCTCTTAACTAATGACCCACAGAGCCAAATCCAATATACAAGATAGACGATAAACAAAATAGTCGAAAAAGTTAACCCGTTTCAATCCCCTTCAAATTTGTGTAAAACAAACCTACTGATTCATAGATGGCATCAAATCTGCAAGCACATAACATTTTCAAACAGTATTATTATAAATTTATTTCTTAGTAATTAACTATTTGGGTGCCACTTCCCCACAGTCATTGTAACCTTATTCTCCTACTCTTACGTCATCTGTGTCACCATGATATCTGCTTGTCGATTAGGAATCGAGTGTACTACGATGAAGTTTGCCCTGTTCTATTATATAGCTGTGATGAAACATGACCATTAAACGTAGAGAATATGAGAAGGCTTTAGGGGTCTGACCATCGTTTCCTTCATAGCACAGACTGATGTGTTATGGTGTCACCATGTCAGTAACGCAGAAGTTAAATGCAGACTCTTAAACAGGAGTGGAAAATCAGTTGATGAAGTGGTGAACCATCATCAAGTGAAAAGGCTGAGTTATGTGTTACGTATAACAAGTCACCATCTGCCTCGTCATGCAATGTTAACTGAAGTAGTTTAGGGCTAGAAAATAGCTCGAGAACTGGGAGGAAGAGACATGGCATCACTGCATGCAGTTTATAACTGTTGATCTGAGCTGCGTAGGGGAATACAGACATTTTGGTAGGGGGTCCACGTGACAACAGAAACCAATGATTGGGGAGTCTAGTTGATGTGGTACAGATATATTCACACACTGTGTTCATTTTAATCACTCGACTGACTCTAGCACTTTCTCATTCCTCCTTTATCTCTTTTACTACTTCCTACTGTGTTTGACCAATTCTTCTATATTTCTTCATCTTTCTTCTTACTCCTTTGTTACTTATTGTGCTGATGTAAGGTGTAGCAACTTGAACCATTACGCATTAATGCCTGGTTCTATGTTGATACTGAAAGGATACAAAAAAAACAAGCCCCTATCTCACATGTGAATTGTTGATGAATTGATAATTCATTGGTCGATAAGTAACAGATCTAGGTAAATAAACGCAAATAACAACAATAGTCATAGGGAAGATGAATCAATCATGTTTACCCAACTGATGTGTCCCTTTTCTGAACCATGACGAAATAAACTATTTATGATCAAATTTTATATACACCGTAATTTTAAACAAATGGATAAATAAGAGTTTACAGTTATCGTGCTAAAGAATAAGAAAAACTCGTTACAATTTGTGCCAGACAAATAGCTATGATAAGGACACAATAAGTGAGAAAAATACTCGAAGAGTACATCCAAATTATTATTATTATTATTATTTTCAATCAATGGACAGGAAAATTTGTCGCTAGATGGGCGTGGGGATAAAATATTACGATAATAATGATGATAATAATAATAATAAATACCGAATAAAGGAAATAATAGATTCAGAGCATTAACAACAGCAGAAAACAACATAATACAGAATTCGCCTCATTAGTTACTTACAACTACTTAATCAGTATTATGTGATTAAATGATAGAGAGAAGTATCGTCAGAGAAAGATATGATTTTGAGGCTAGTAGGGATCTCAATTTTAAAGTATTGTATTCCTCACGAACTAATATCAGCTGCAGAACCGCTGGAAACTTGGGAGCACTGGATGGCTGTTTCGTCCTGGTATGGGACTCCTCAGAAGTACACACCCATGTGCTGCTGACGAGTGGCATACTAGGAAGAAACAGTTGTCCAGTGCTCCCAAGTTTCCAATAACTCTCCGACTGATGACAGTCCATGATGAATAGTACCTTAAAATATATGATTATCCCTATATGAAATAATGAGAGAGTAACACAGAGATGCTTCATTCACAAAAATATTTTGAACAAAATAACTTACTAATCTTCGGCGTTTCTTATTCCAACCTTCGGCTCTTCGTCTAGAGTCGGTGCGACCAGAAGCTGTTATATAAGGAATAATTTAGAATAATAAGTAGTAGTGGTAGCAGTAGTAAGCTGAAATATCAGTCACACATTAAACAGAGATGCACTGCAAGTTACTGTCACAAAAAAACATCAAACTTGTTCACTTTTTAACTAAACAATAACAGAAATAATCTATCTATATTGCAAAGGTTCATTTATGACTAGGCTACAGATTATGAAATGGGACAGTTAACAACATAATTTGTCACAAATCCTTACTCTGTAGTCAATAAATACAAGAAAAGAGAATGAAATTACAAGTCTTTGTCAGACGATGATCGATTCACAAAGCTTATGCCAAGAAATGCGAATAACAACATAACATAAAATACAGTTAGCCAATAATCTAGATATAGGAGTGGCATATTTCTGCATAATAACAATAAGTAGTGAACTCAAACAAAGTCGATGAATATGATAACAAAACGGCACTATAAAATCCTCATCTAGCTATTATTATCATTATTATTATTTGTCCTTTGGGTTCCTAATGGAATATAGGGCTTCACTAGCATGCCCCCATTCCACTCTGTTCTCTGAAATCTTTTAAACTTGGCTCCACAACAGCCCACAACCTCTCATTTCCTCCTCGCACGATCTCCTCCATGTCACCTTCGACACCGACGCCCAACTCGTCGCTTCCCATCTGGGTTCCACTCGAGGGCCTAGTCTGACGCGCGATGTCCCCAATCACCTTCTCAGTGCATGCCAAATCTATCTCCACTTCCTCCTTCTGCATATTTGTTCAGCGATAGCTTCTTGGTTGGTTCATTCCCAGAGTTTCTTGTTGCTGATTCTTATTATTCTGGGCATCTGATCTTCAGTAACGAGCCAGCATAGGCAGTTGTTGATGAATGTCTGTAGTTTGTTGGAAATCTCTTTCGTAACGCGCCAAATCTCTCAACCATACAGAAGCACTGACTTACTTGACGTTGGTGTTGAAAATCCGGATCTTGTTCCACATGCTGAGGGCAGTGTAGAAGATCTCCACACTGGTTTCAGGCTAATGAACGCCTGTCTTGCTTTTCTAATTCTGACTTTGACATCCTCGTCTGTGCCTGTCCCACCTGTAGTTGAAACAGTGCTTCCCAAATAGGTGAAGGAGGTTACTTCCTTTAAGTTTCTCCCGTTCATGGTGACTGGAGTTTGTTGTTGTTGTTGTTAGAGTTGTTGGTGCGTCATCTTCATCACTTCTGTCTTCTCTATATTCACTTGAAGTCCCGTCTTAGCTGCCTCTTCTGTCAACTTGTTAGTTTTTGCCTGCAGATCTTCAAGTTTATGTGACATCAGGCACAAGTCATCGGCGAAATCCAAGTCTTCTAGGTTCTTTTCTGGTTGGCAAATGGCGTCTTCATATAGTTGTTGAAGCAGTTTCCAAATTACTTTTCTGACGACGCTGTCAAAGGCCTTCTCAAAGTCGATGAAGTTGAGGTAGAGAGTTGACTGCCTATACTCTATACTCTGTTCTATGATGATCTGTAGTGTAGCGCTGCAGTTTGGTGCGCACATGATTTGTACTTCCTGAATTCAGCCAGCCCGCCTGTTCCGGTTGTAGTTTTGAATCCAGTACATCCTTTAGTCTCTCAGAAATGATATGGCTTCAGATTTTGCTTGCTTTGGGTGGACAGGAAAGTGATTCCACACCAGTTCTTGCAAACACTGAGGTCTCCCTACTTCGAGAGTTTGACAAGGTAACCCTTCTTCCAATCAATTCACAGGTGCCTACCCTTCCTTCCACACCTTCTGCAATAGTGGTGTGAGCATGTCCGCTGTTGTCTCTGTGTCTGCTCTCAGTGCTTCTGGTGGGATTCCATCTGGTCCTCCTGCATTCCCACATTTCAGTAGCATTATGGCGCTCAGAACTTCCACTTTTGTTGGATGATTCATGTTCACTTGTAGTTATGTGGCTGCAGGTGGTATTTCTGGACGAAGTGCAGGTGGTGGTCGATTCAACAGCTTTTTGAAGTGGTCGGCCCATCGTTTCCTTTGTTTCGCTTCTTTGGTATTTAGATTTCCTTTATCAACTTTCATTGGTTTCATCTGTGTTGATCTCTTCATTTCCAGATAGTAACCTCCTTATTTGATGTAATATTGTCAAGTCTCTGTCTCTCCTACCAGCAGGCTGTTCTGCTTCACTTGACAATGTGTCGTTGAAGTGTCTTCTATCTTTGGGAGCACTCTTCTTTATTTCTTTGGCCAGTGTTTTAGACGTTGTACTCAGATTCTCTTCTCGTTGTGCATCCTTGCACTGGTTTATCTTCTGCTTCACCATCACCATCCTCCTCTCCCTGCTCTATCAGCTTCCATGTGGAGATCCTTCGAGATCCATTCCTTGTCTTCCACCTTCTTCCTTCCTAATACTGTTGTACAGGTTTCTTTCCACATAGCTTTCAAAGACTTCCAGTGTTCTTCCACACAGGTTTCTTCAGGGATGTTCCTCGATATCTCCTATTTTGTCTTCATTGCTGACTGACGTGAAGATTTCCTTTGTAGTTTCATCCTTCAGTTTCCGAGTGTTGTACTAGAACTGAGGTCTATCACCAGCTTCCTTGAAGGCTTTTAACTTGATTTGGAAGGCAGGTTCCTTGCACTAGATAGTGAGTGGCGTGAACCTACACCTGCTCCTCCTCCTCTTGACCTTGTGTCAAGTAGGCTGACTGAGTCTCCACTTTCTTCACATTGAGATGAAGTCGATCTGATTTTTAGTGTTTCCATCTGGTGAATGGTGAAGTCCATGTCGCTTTGTGGATATCCTTGTGCTTGAACACACTACCTGACTCCAATCACCAAATCGTTGAATGCACAGAATTCTGCAAACAATTCTCCATTCTCGTTCATCACCTCACCGCGCACTTCTCGACCCATGGTTAGTTCTCTTCCTGTGTTGTCCCCTCCTAGTTTGGCATTCGTGTCACCCGCCCATTAGAATGGATTTTGATATCACCAACTGAGGTGGTGTCTTATCCAGTGCTGATTGAAGTTGTCTGTAGAATTCCTTTTTTTTCTCTTGCTCTGCATTATTTGTAGGTGCGTAGTGTAGCGTAGCATTGTATGATTGTGACCTTCCTTCCTTTCGAGTTGAACCTTGCTGTCATGATCCTGGAAGAGGAGATTGGTTCTCACTGCATGACAGAGAGCCTTTGATGCTATTGGGAACATCATGGTAGTCATTCCAGAACTCAGTATGCTCGTGGTTGTCTTCTGGATGACAATATCGGAGTAGATTATTGATTCCTCTCCAGTTGACAGTTTGGAGAGTCCACTCCCATTCCATGTGCTTTCGCGAATTCCAAGCACTTCAGTGTGATACCTTCTCATTGCCTTTGCAGTCTGGGCTGCCTTGCTGGGTTCAAGCATCTTTTGGACATTCCATGTCCCGGCGTTTACTTCCGTTTTTATCGGGAGAGAGAAGACACATCGGCCAATTGGCTTCCCGAAGGCAGGCTTTCACCAATCGGCGTCATTTTGCCTCTCCAATTCCAGCGAGGAATAATTTTGTTTTTATTTTTTATATTTCGTTTGTGCTTTGAAGTTTGTTTAGCGGTTAGATTTGTTTTCCGGGGTAGGGTTGTTATACGATACGTTATTCATTAGAATATAATTATTTACATAATCAATCACTATTCTAGTGATAAAGGCAATTTTATCAACTGATTGACAGCTTAAATGCTGTTGTTTGTATTACCCCATTATTAATTGGACCAAATTGACCAGTCACTATTGGCATATGGGCTTCTGCACGGAAGCCTCAATATTGCCCGTGTTTGAATTATATATTAATCATGGATAGTGGCTGACAATGAAATGCAGGATGCGCGTTTTGTCTCACTTGAGACCTGTCATTCGGATCTACTTGTCTCTCAGAGACAGTGTTGTTCCCATCCGTCCAATAAACAACGGGATAATACAACCAACATCATATAAGCCATACCCATAGCACAAGAAGTACATGTCTTGAATTGATGGCCTAATGGATAACGCTCTGGCGTTTGAAATGATCGGTCCAATGTTAGAGTCTTAGTGGGAACAACACCGCTCACTAGGAGGCAAGAACATCCAACGAATGAGTCCCAACTAAGGAGAAACGCGCGACATGGATTCTACTGCTAGCCACTATCCATCACTTATATCACGACTGACAGCTTGTTGTTCGAATAACAGCAAGTACCGGTGATCAAATGATCTTAACGTAAGCACTTATCATTGATGGTCAAATTCAAATATTTCCTGATAACGAAGGTAGATTTTACCCTCATTGGAGAGTAACAAAATAGGAATTCGCAACAACAAAGGAGATAAGCAACACTTCAAATTGTTACACTCAGTAAAACAGTACACCTAGTAAACACCAATGAAAGTGGAAATATATTATGATTACCAAAAAGAGGGAATACGAAGAGTAACTAGAAAATTTAGATATAATGAGATTGTAGTGAAAAACAAGGGACAAGATATGAACGTAACTAAGTCCCAGTTGTTACATTTTACATAAGTATGCAGACAGTGGTATCGACAAAAAACAAGAAAAGAGACTAATGCAAATCAGTGTAACAACCCGTCATCAGACAAATAGAAGGAGAAAAAGACGATGGAAATGAAGGTACAGACTAAAATTATCACAAGATTTCGATGATGATACGACATCGAAGCAGCGATTTACAGCGGATAACCGATAAATGCACTTAACTACTTTATAATAAATAATCCATTACTGAACACGGTCTTTCTAAATCCACCTGATTATTATCAGTATTACACATCAGAGAATATATTAAATCTGTGATTTTATTAAGCTTTTAAGAAATAAACGAAAATTATTTTATCAACATTGAATACAATGCCTCCTGGGTGTACTACTATATATGTCATTGGTGGCTTGCATGCTTACTTATTACCAGTATCTACATTGAAATTGAATCGAAACTCATTCAACAACTGTATACATGTGCTTTCAGTAGGCCATCAGCCACACCTAT